TTCACCAGAAGGAAAACACTTCTCATGCAGGGATCTGTTGTGCAGTTGAGGATGATTAATGTATAGAGCGATGATTTAATGTGGTACAATCCTGGTGGATTACATATTCACGATGATCTCATATCATCTCATTGTTGAAATGAAAAAACAGTAATCTCCTGTGTCTGAGTCTTATGATTGAGTCATGGGTCATAGAGCATGTTGATCTGCTGGTCCGGTTTAACCTCCAGGATGCAGTTTAAAGCAGTTGTTTGTGTTGCTGTGACTTTATTGTCCAACTCTTTATAGAACAGTCTTAATATAAGTCAACTAAAATAGTAAGATGATGGATAAGTGTGTTTTCATATTGAAGCATGTTCAGACCTCTGTGTGATGTGATATTAGTGGCAAAACTTGTTTAACATGTTGAAGTGATGCATGAAACAACGTGTAATGCAACATGGTCATTATTTTATCAGTGTTTTGTCACATCATCTGTTTTTTCAGGAACCGCCAATCGTCAGTCCAAAAAAAGACGATGGACGATTTATTCGTGCATGACACACGTGCTGATTTGCGAACACAGAAGAAGCCCAAAACAGATTTTTTTATAGACAAGCGCAGCACATGTGTTTGCTGGAAGATAATTTTATATTTTTCTTTTTGTTTAATTTAGTATTTGTAGTTTGGTAGAGTGACGTATAAATGGCCCGTAATAAACACGGTTAAAATGTTCAAAAGAAGCCTTGCCTTTGTTTCACTGTGGTGCCCACTGTTGTGGTATTTTATTTAAGCAAAATGTTTCTTTCTGAACGAAAACTTCTGGGGTTCTTTCTTTTGTAAGTATGGAATGAATGGCTGCTGCATTTGGACGCACTCTGAGGAGGCAGCTCGCTGCCAGAGGTCACATGATCCATTTATCCCATCACTTTCATTTTTAAAATATTGACTCATTCGTTAAATTTCCATTCATTTTAATTAATATTTAGTCCAACCAAGCTGATCAGAATGCCCCAGTAACATGAACAATGCAATTAAACAATTTCACTTAAATTAGGAACATTTCACCTGCTGCGGCTCGAACGTACATTCCTCCTGCGCTGCGTAAACCTGAACTGGTCACCTGAAGAAGAAGAAGAAGAAAATATCATATCTATAGCGCCTCTCAAGATAAAAATCACAAGGCGCTTCACAAAAACAAAAAAAAGTTAAAATATAAAAAAGCATTTAGAAAATGTTTAAAAATATATTTAAAATGAGCAAAAATAAGCAATTGGGATTTAAAAGAAAAAATGCTAAAGAGAGGGAGTGAATAGGAAAAAGGGAAATCAGTGGATCCTGAGGAAGGTGGAATAGTTGGGGAGAGCAGAATAGAGAGAGAGAGAGTGGTGAAGAAGGTCATACAAAAGCCAGCTTGAACAAGTGAGTCTTCAGCTGCTTTTTGAAGGAGACCACTGAGTCCACTGATCTCAGGCTCAGGGGGAGAGAGGTCCAGAGTCTGGGGGCCACAGCAGCAGATGATCTGTCACCTTTGGTCTTTAGCCTGGTGCTGCACAACCAGTAGGCTTTGATCACTGGACCTCAGGGACCTGCTGGGGGTGTAGGGACTAAGAAGATCACCAATGTAAGATGGTGCTTGTCCATGTAAGGCCCTATAGACCAGAACCAGGATCTTGAAATGAACCCTGAAGTTGACTGGCAGCCAGCGAAGCAGGAGGAGAAGCGGGGTGATGTGGGTGTGTTTGGAGGACTTGGTCAGAAGCCGAGCACAGGCATTCTGAACCACCTGTAGACGGTTCAGGGAGGTTCTGCTCAGACACGTGAAAAGAGAGTTACAGTAGTCTAAGCATGAGGAGATGAAGGTGTGGAGAACTGTCTCAAGTTCAGAGCGGGACAGAATGGGACTCAGCTTAGCAATGTTCCTTAGATGGAAGAAGGAAGAGCGAACAAGAGAACTGACATGAGAATCCATGGTGAGAGCCGGGTCAAAGGTCACGCCAAGATTCCTGACGGAAGGTTTGGTGTGAGAAGCAAGCTGACCAAGAGTCTCTGACTTTGAGAACCAGCTTGTCTGGGGCACAGATGAGGATCTCAGTCTTATCTACATTCAGCTGTAGAAAGCTCCCATCCATCCAGGTTTTGATAGATTCTAAGCAGGTGTGTAACAGCTGCAGCTTAGACATCTCATGGGCCTTAAAGGAGATGTACAGTTGGATGTCATCTGCATAAAGATGGTAGGAGATTTCTTTGAAGGAGCTCAGGATGTGCTGAAGAGGAAGCAGTTAGAGGAGGAAGAGCAGGGGCTCCAGCACAGGACCTTGTGGGACACCATGGGTAAGGGAGGTGGTGGAGGACCTAAACTTGGAGACAGCCACAGAAAAGGAGCTCTCAGAAAGATAAGAGGAGAACCACTTCAGAGCAGATCCTGATAGGCCTACCCAGTCTCTCAGTCTCTCCAGTAGCAGGTGATGGTCAACAGTGTCAAAGGCTGCAGTCCGGTCCAGCAGGACCAGAACAGATCAGTCCCCTGCATCACTGTGAGTCAGAAGGTCATTAGAGACCATAAGAAGAGCTGTTTCATTAGAATGAGTTCTACGAAAACCTGACTGGAAGCTATCATAGATGTTATGTTCATCAAGAGCAGCTGTGAGTTGTTTAGCCACAACCTTTTCCAAGATCTTGGAGATGAAAGGAAGTTTAGAGATGGGTCTGAAGCTGCTATGGAGAGAGGGGTCGAGACTCGGTTTTTTAAGAAGCGGGTGGATTACAGCGTTCTTAAAGTAAGCAGGAACCTGACCAGAAACCAGAGATGCATTAATTATAGAAATTGCAGCTTGTGTGTAATCAAATGTCTCAAGGCAGCTTGCTGAAGAGGTTATGAGTGTCTAGACTTTTGCCTCAGACAGACTCATAGGCTGTTTAAATAATGTTCTGAATGGATCTGTGCTCCGCAGACACCCTCGAAGCAGGTGCTGAATAATGATGAGCGCTATTTCAGCCAGAGTTTTAAATTAGGAAACATTTCTCCAAATGAAATAACCAGAAGTCTTCCAGACTCTGAAAGATAGAAGGGTTTCCACTTTCCACTCAACGCCGCGCTGTAGTGCACGATGTCGAGTGCGTCACAGACGCTCTCCAAACCCCAGCCAGAGGCAGAGGAGATGAGAAAAGGATCAGATGTGCTGATGGAGATCTTTTCTTGAATGTTACTACCTCTGTGATGTTCTCTGTGCGTAAAGTGTAAAATATTCATCAATAACAAATAAATAAATAAACAAATCACCTCCTGTAAAAAACAAACGTAACGGCTCAGCCCATCGCCAATGGTAGATTCATTCATCCCTATTGCCCAACCTTATTTTCAGCCACTAAATGGTGCCATTGGATAAGAGAAATACTCCGGAATGAGACGTTAACCCGTTAACTATGTACATAAAACAAGTGTAAAAAAGATGCAGAATTGACGTGAATATTTGCAATGTCCCATCCATGAGACTAATTCATGGGCACAATAATTATTGCTCATAAAAGTGATCAGCAAAGGGTGTGGCCTATCACAGATGGTCAAATAATTTGCCCAACTATAGTACTTAATAAAATGTGTCTCCTATTGGTCTCCCTATACATGACAAGTAAATACCAGGGAGTTTTAGAGTTTCTGATGGTATCTTTACAGCTGATTCTTTGGTGTAGAGCAGATGTCACCAACTCCAGCCCTCAAGGGTTACCATCCAGCTAGTTTTCTGTTTCCTGCTCTACCACACCTGGATGCAGTAATTTATTCCTCCCTTTACCACTGTTAACTCTACACAGGCCTGGTAGTTGGTCATTAATTTCAGTCAGGTGTGTAGAAGCAACAAAACTGCTAACATGTGCTGGATGGTAGCCCTTGTGGACCAGAGTTTGTGACTCCTGGTGTAGAGAGACACTTGATGATTCCAAAGAAACAAATTACTTTGCAAAAACACACAAAGCAAACTTCTCAAACCCCTCAAGTGTTTAGGGTTTTCAGGTTTCATGTCCATGGATCAGCAATCAGTGGTTTATTTATATTTTAGGCCTAAGCTTGTTTTCTACTTCATCTGGTTGGGCCCAACGCCATCACAGGTGCAAATGCTTAGAGTCGTAACAGGTAGCTGCTACCGTTAACACACTTGCACTAATTAGAAGTGTTTTTGTGACTGTCGACTATTTAAAACACAAGTTGAATTTCATGTTGGATTATCGTAATTTGTGGCAGGTGTGGCTGTGTTATCTGTTATACCCTCACATGTTATAAATCAAATGTTTCCATCCATGTTTGTGTGATGTTTGATGGTGAAGCAGATCCTGGATTTTGCTTCTCTTTACCTCAGGGCTGCGCCGAGGTTAAATAAACAGAAAAATAGTAACACTCATCCAGCACCGAGGGAGCACATGCCATTGAGTCAGCCGGCCTGTTTACATGCTGAGAGCACATGACACTGAGTATGTCTTTTTCCTCAGACCTAGCAGCAGCCACCCCTCTCTCACAAGCTATAGGCTTCATCAATAGGCCGATTGTTGTGTTGGCTGAGGATCCTCTCAGTCATGAGTTATAGGGTGATGGGGAGATGACGAGTCCTGCACTCTCGCTCTGCAGTTCAAACCAAAATGAGTCTAAGTGGGTTTCAGTATGCTTCCATTTGTGAAAGCGTTTCCTGCTGCTAAAATGATCTTGATGTTTGTTTATTTCTTTGAACGAGCTCATGTGGTCGAGCTCCTGTCAGCTTAACTAATACAAAAATACCATTCTGAAGCTCTGTTAGCTCTTCTACTGAAGCTGTTGCAGCTCAACAGTCAAGCGACCAGTTCCTGTTTTAGCTGCATAGTAATTCTAGACATGGATGCTTGTTGTGTCATAAATCTGCACTTTTTACCATGTCATTTTGAAAATACTAATGTGGAATGAGTTAATAACTAGTTTCCCTTGAGGAAATCTCAGCCAGCAAAACCAGTTTTCCTCATTTCTTGATAAATGTTTTCTCTCTGTGTGTCTGCAGATGGATCCCTCCCTAAAGAGTCAAAAGGAGATGTGTCGAGCCAGATAGCAGGTAAAACTCAAACACCTTGTTTTGGCACTTTTTGCATGCAAGAACAAAGGTGCATTTATTAGACACTGTAAATGAAGTACATTAATATAAAATTAATTAGTGGTTCTCCTCAGATTCCATCTTTTACCTTCCTCCTCATCCTCAAACAGCATTCCTCAGAAGGCAAGTTGATCCGTGCATCTAGCTACCATCTCTGTAGCAACAGCAGATTTTTACGACGAGTTTAGATGGATGTTTATTCTCTCACTCCCTGTTCCTATCCCTCATTGATTTTATATTTCATCTACTCCCCTTTTTTTTTCTTCCAACCCCTCACAGAGCAGCTCAATATCTGCCCGTCTGTGTTGTGCCTACCTCTGATGTGACATTTTGGAGAGGCATAATGACCAGTTTGATATTTAGGATTAATACGGCGCTGTGCTTCAGCTAGGATGTTGGATATTTCATAAACTAGCGTCTGCTCTGAAAAGAAAACTGATTGCACAAGTGATGGGAATTTTAAGCAGCGCTGCCTTAAGAAGTTAAAACCCTCCACACTCTAGATGTAAAGGAGGACAATGAGTTGGCGGGTTGTTCCGAAGCCCCGGGGCCCTGATGAAGAGAGGCTGGGTGTACACAAAGACACTTGCAACATGAAATCAGTCTACACACGCCTTTGAATCAGCATTTTGATCCGTCTGCATGATCCTGTTAGAATTGTGTTTTATTTTGTTTAGCCTGAGTTTGTTTTATGACTTCACACAGGGCATTTATCCTTTCCACAGCCTATGTATTTCTTTGTTCTTTTAGTAGAAAATATCAAAATGGTGCAAAATGTAGCATTTGTTGTTAAAAATATTTATGCCCAACTCTTCAGCGCTGGGGGGTAAACTGTGCTTGGACCAAAGAGACTGCCTCCATATGGCGCACTTGATCATATTGGAGGTTGCAAGGAGGATTAGACCTGCAAGTGGCTGTGCAGCAAGTCAGCGGCTGACAAAGTGACTTTTTAAACAAATCCCTCATGTTGAGTCTGACACCGGAACATGAACAAGTAAAGTTAAATTTGTGCTCTTAAGATGTTACAAACCAAGTGAGGTCCCTGCCTCATCACGGTTGTCTAAAAAGTTGGATCAAGTAGCACCAAAAGAGCCAAGTAAATGAACACTTGGCACCAAAAACAAGCAGGCTCTTTTCTTCCCCCCCCCCCCCCCCCCCCCCCCCCCCCACCACCAATTCCTCTTCCCCGCTGTGTTTGGGTCGCTGGGGTAACCCTGGCCTGATTCATGCTCCGTTAGCCTACCCTGCTATTAGAGGTCTATATGGATGGATAGAACAGAAGGAGCCGGAGATAAAGGAACGATCGTTAGACCAGGAGTCAGATTTAGGGACATGAAAGAAACCTTTGATGAAGGAAAAAGGTCACACAGTCTGAGTGGTTAGCTCTGGGGTTTTAGATACTCACACTATGTCTTTGGCTAATTTGAATAAAGCAGAAAAAACTGACCCACATCTTTATAATTAATGTTTTGCCGTGCTAAGTCTTTTTTTTGGATCTGATCGTACTGCTGGCCTGTGGAAGTGAAGACTTTACCTTAACTGCTGTCGGGCAGTTAAAAATACAGTAAAACATAATCTGTCTGCCTTAAAGAACTGGAAGTGAAAAGCGTGGGAGCTGTGTGCAGCATAATTCAGCTCAGGCTTTTCATGTAGCATACAGTGCAGTAGGATACTGAACGCTTATGCATTAGTTCTTCAAAAATGGGAAAGAACGTTGCAGATTTTGATGATTTTGCTCAGATGATGGCCAAAGCTTTTGCAGCGTATCTTCAGATGAAAGAGCAGGTTTTATTTAAATGTCCTTTTTAGTAACTACTCAGCCATTTGTTGGTGCATATGCAGTGTCAGGGCCTGTGCCAGCTGTACCCACACTAGGTTCATTGTTGCAGTGGCACCCAACTGTGTGTGTGTGTGTGTGTGTGTGTGTGTGTGTGTGTGTGTGTGTGTGTGTGTGTGTGCGTGTGCGTGTGTGTGTGCGTGTGTGTGTGTGTGTGTGTGTGTGCGTGCGTGATCACAACAACCAAACAGATCAGGTCTTCATGTTGTAGTTCAGTAAAGCAACCTGTTCTGCAGCCAATCAGTTTGTCCTTACTAGGCCAGAGAAGTAGGGCAGGAGCTGTCTGTCAGAGATAAAGTAGACTGATGACAGCTCAGGCGAGATGAAAACACGTCAGTTAGCCGACGGTGAACAAACCATCATACAGAATTCTATAACATAGCAAATAATCAACTAATGAAAGAAGTAAAAAAAATCACTAGTGTTATTTTCGCTGCATCACAAAGAGCTATGTGTTCGTTTTTATAACTGCAGTGCTCCACATGAATGTTTGGTGGCGCTGTAGTTTGTTATTGTGTGCCGAAACTGCACCCAACCCAACTTTCAATGGAGAGAATAGCAATAGCATTGAACACGGAGATCCTTCAACCCAAAGCAGGTCCATGCTAAATGTTTTGCTTGTTTTTAAGGGACTATTTTGCAAGTTTAGTTCCTGGGCTTTTCTTTTCTTTTGTCAGTCCTCAAATAGAAGCAGTCAGTCATGGAAGCAATAGTTTTTGTGGCTAAGAAGGAGATTGGGGCTCCTCCGTGATCCACCATGGCTTTGTAAACATCTGGAAACCCCCGCTCAGCCTGCGAACTTCAGCACACACGTGTTCATGCTCTGTGATCGACATCTGTACTGAAACTGATGTCAAACGCTGTTGGATAACCCACATTTATACCAGTGCTTTTCACAGTCTGAGGACTCCAAAGTGGTTTACAGTACAGTTAATCGTTCACCCTTTCACACACACATTCACACACCGCTGGTGATGAGCTACAGTGGGGCGCAGTGACTAAGGCGAGGCTGCCGAGCACTGGCATCACCGGTCCCTCCGACCACCATCAGCAGGCAAAGTGGGTTAAGTTTCTTGCCCAAGGACACAACAGCAGCCGGTACGGTATCAATCCTACAACATTCCGATTACTGAACAACCTGTTCTACCTCCCGAGCTACTGCTGCCCGATGCTGAGCTTCAGTCAGTCTAAATTGCATTGGGCTCTATGGGACGAGGGGTGGGCTTATGAAAATACAACACACACATTGCCTCTATTATATCGCAGTAGAGGGTAAGACTCGCTTTTATGAATATCTAAAAAAAAAAATCACACAATTCCTGAAAAGGGGAAAACTGGATTTCTTTTTTAAGTAACTATAAATGCATTTATGTTTGGTTGTTTGAAGCACATAGAAGCTGCAACGTTTAGTTTTTGTTAACAGGTGAGGGAAGACGGGCAGATAGCAGTTTAAGACCATTTTATGCAGTACCTAGTTGTAGTTAGATCAAGACAAAGTGATGCACTTTTCAAAGCTTTACAGTTACTTCAATCAGCTTTTTAGAACCATCTTTAAATTTGAACATTAGAAGTCTGTAAGTGAACATTCATACACGCCAGATGCATTTTAAAAAGGTTCTTGCAGACTTCAAAAGAATTCTGTACTTTATCCTCGTGAAAATTGATTAATCCAGTTTGAACTTGAGTTGTAGCTAGTGGCAAAGGTACTGCTGGACAGGTAAAGCAAAGAAGGGATTCAGTCAAATACTTATAGATTTATTCATGGCCCTTACGAGTTCCAGGACCTAAAACATGCAAAGATCCCAAATAAGCAGAGTGAGTAAGAATCCTCATATAAAAGTCTAAGACTTAGTCAGCACAGAAATGTAAATCACTCTAATGGGACTTAAGAAGCCATTAGCTGAAAGTTTTTAAAATCCAGGTTCTTGTCCAAATTGTTTTCTTGTTTTTTATCTGTAATCTCAAAAGTGTTTTATTGATTCTTTATCCTTAGCTGAAAATGAAATGATTCAGTGTTTCCAATAGCAGCTTTGGCTGCTGTACAGCTCAGGAAATGCCTTACAGTCTGAATGTAGGCCATGAAAATGTAAAACATTTCCATGCTGAGAGAAATCTGTTTAAACAGAAAAAATAAATGAAATGAGTCTCAGATGTTTCCTTGTGTTGAAACCGCTCACTGTTACGAAGGCAGCTACCCCGTACGGTGTGTGTTCTCTCCAACCAGGTTTGGTGTTCATGAGGTCAGGGAGTCTGTGACATAGATGCTCTATTCCTGTCCACACTCAGCCCTGAGAAATGCCTGCCATTCCCACACATCCCTCATCAAGGAATTTCTGGCATGATGTGAACGTGGGAAGTCCAGAGCTATGCAGGGATGCACACTCGTGTGCAGTTCTGGTTTCCCTTGATTTACAACAGCTGGCTGAGAACCAGCGTGACACAGTACGCTGCTGGGAGCCATTAGGAGACTGAGCCGCTGTGTAACTGCTCTTTAATCAAACAGAGAAGATGCAGCAAGCGTGCAACATTTCTCCTCTTTCCGTCAGCTGACCGCACCTCCTGGTCCACCTGTCCTTGTCCAGGCAGCTGTTGCATACCCCATCTTGTATTTTATTTTTTACCATGGGAGCATGCACATTCCTCCCCTTCCATTAAGCATTTGTCACAGTTTCTCTGAGCCAGACTCTAAGTGGTGTTAGCATGCACTAGTCCACTTTATCTGCGTGTTTAAAGGCCCACGTGACCTCTCAGTGGAAGTCTCCGAGGTGTGTCGGGTGTTGACATATTCCAAGATGCAAACAGGAATAAGACCCTTGGAACGGTGAGACAACCATTTAATTGACTTCAGTCACTTCCATGAAGGATGAAGCTCACCTCTGGCTTTTTTGTCTTTTTTATTTATTTTTTTTACCCTTTCTGACTCTTGGATGCACCTTTATTGGGTAAATCTGTTCTACAACCACTTTTCACAAAGCTTGTCAGTCAACCAGGAAATGTTAAAACTTGTGTATCACCTGGGTAAAGTTCATCTGGGTGTTTTTTATATTTTATTTTTTTATCTAGTGGGACAGAAGAGATGAAAGTGTTTAACTCAGGATTTAGAAGACCAATTTTCCTGGTGATG